GTTTCTTGCAAAAAACTGTAATCAATCAAGCTGGAAGTCCAAGTGGCCACACAATGCAACACTCTCGTCCCAGCCGACGCCCTTTCCTCCTGTAGGTGGGAAAAAGCCAAAACAATGCCGATATGAGTCCAAGTGTTAAACTGCGGTGCACGAAGCTGTTAGTGATTTGCAAGCTTGACGCAAAAACGCATGATCGCACAGGCAAACCTGATGCATTGCAACCTGGGTTAACATTCTCAAACTTCAAACTAAATAAGAAAAATATGTTTTTATATTTTTCTTGTAATCTGAAAGATTTTCAGAGTGCAGAACATGCGTGTCATTGATGGGAAACCAGAATATACCGGTGCATTTGATGTTTGGTCAAAAGTGATTCGTAATGAAGGATTTTTCGCTCTGTGGAAGGGTTTCACGCCGTATTACTTCCGTCTCGGGCCGCACACCGTACTAACATTCATTATTCTTGAGCAGCTCAATGCGATGTATTACAAATTTGTCCTGGGAGTTAAGCAGACCGGCAGTACGTTGTAAGAAAAAGCGAATCAATGTTCAGGTTGGTATTTATCCTCAGTTTTTTTTTGATCAAGCTTGATGCACAGAATATTGTAAAGCACATTGCAGATTAAGAATGCTTTGATCACTTTTTCTTCAAAGTCTGATTCTCTAGCTATATGTAGCCGGCAGTTTTTTCATTTGCTTTGACCAATGTTGCATTACTTAGTGGCAATCTTTCTGGCGATCCTTACATTCGTTTTGTCTCCTGAAGGTTAGCGGTTCTACTGGCACAAGCACCTGATATGGCGTAAGCCGTTTCAGAATGCCCTTAATGTGTGCTGAGTATTATCACCTCGTCCTGTATAATGTTACTTCTTGGCCACGCACCTTATCGACAAAGAGTTTCCTAGTGAATGTGAGGGAAGGAAATTATCTAGGGATATTGATGATTTTTACGAACTAAAGCATTTCAGTGAATTCACAAAATTTTATCCAATTTTAGCTGAAGCGAAAATATATCGACAGGCAACAAGAAGCATTGTCCTGGACTGAAAGTCCCTCGTACTTCAACTTATTTTCCTAGTTTGATATTTTTTCTTTTTATCCTCTGTCTCTTTGCCTTTTTTCTCAACTTCTTTACGTGTCTTCTCCATCCCTTTGATGTGTTTGGCCTCTTTGAAGCATCAGTACTGGTGCCTCTGTGTGCCATCTGCCTCTAATTGCTCGTGTATCCTTTTAGGTTATTTTTCTGGGTTGGATTTCTTAGCGGGCAGTGTTGTTGTCTAGGTATCTTCTTTGATAACGGTTTTGTAATTCACTTTTCTGCTTCATCCGGTACTCTTTGCTTAAGAAACTGGTATTCTATTTATTTCTATGTAAATCTAAATAACATCAATGTTCGCGAAGGAGGAGGGAAATGAGGAGCGGTATGATAAAAACATCGAACTGACGGTGAAATTTGTCCTTAGTTTTACTGAATTTCCGCACATGGGCAGTTTGATAATTAATATACAGTTTAATAATCAATTTGATTAGTTTGGTATATTTAATATATACATATAACTGAATAATTTAAAATGCACACACATTTGAACAGGACTCATATTTAGGTAATTATTTTAAGCCACAAAGAATTTTAATTTAGGAAATGGTGCCTTAAAAGTCTTTGATCACTTAAGCTGTTCGCTTCTTCCCACTTATGCCATCAAATTAGGCATCGCCCTGGTGAATTTGTTGCTTTTACTTAAAGAATTTTATGTTTCTCCCCTCTCTCCCAACTCTTTTCCCTGCCGCTCCATTTCTTTTATCTCCTTCGTGATACATACAAAATTGCTTCATTTGCATAAATCCGAATACAGAAATGATTTATCGACCGTTTTTAGCACTGTCGATTATTGTTTTAGTCGAAAATGGGTCGTATCCATATATCCGGTTTTTTAATGCTCCGTTGTCTGGTACCACAATAGACGGATATTATTGACAGGATTTTAAACTGTATGGATTTTGTTTTTAGAATATTTTTATTTGTTTCTGAATGTTTTCTTGTTTCTTTCCTGTCTTTTTCGTCAATTATGAGAACAAGAGAATTCTGCCTTTATTTCATAAAATTTTTCGAGCACTTCGAAAAGTACCAGATATTTCACTGAGGTGTTTCCATTGTCCGGGCAGTCTTGATGTTCGAAGTATTTAATACTAAAGGCTAAACATAGCTTCCCCCGAAATGTCAAAACATTTCACTAAAGCCCACGCCAACTATCTAAACAACTTCTTTAATAAGATAAGCTTTTGTATTATCAAAAAAGACTCCCGAGAAAGATTTTTTTTTCTCTGGTGATTGTTCTTTATGCTTTACTGGTAATTGTACTGTCCTTTTTCACTTTTCCAAAATATCCGGTTCGCTTTCACGGTATTGTTTTCCTCCTTCTTTGTTATTTGTTGTCTGTTAAATTCTTTCCCAATATTATAAGCAGAAATGTTTTACAATTTTAAGCATACAAGACAGCCGGTAATTTTCTCAAAAGCCCGTTTCATAAAACCGCTAGATGGCTTAGCCACAATTCCTAGCTAGAGGAAAGACATTTTTGGCAAGTTTTTAAAAAATTTCTTCAGAAATTCGTGACAAACAGTATGGCCGATTGAAGCGTTTTTAATTTTTTGGAAGAAAATTAACTTTTTTGAAGTGAGTTTTGTGTGAAAAAGAAGAATGTGAGGGTGAGGAAGGAGAGGGAGAAGGAAAGTGAAGAGACGGAGGGAGGTGCAGGAGAGAGAAAGAACCATAAGGTTTCCTGCAGAATAAGTTCCAGCTTTTCGACAGCGCCTTGTGTGTTTGCTCGTTTTCTTGCTACTTCCTCCATTTTCTGAGCAATAAAGATCCATAAAAAAATCTGGCCTTGCATACTTTTATTACGCAAAAATCGCAGCAGTATGCGCTTCTCGAGAAATTAAGGTAATAGATGTCTGCCTGTGCAAAGAGCTAAACTTCATTTTGCGAATTTCCTTTCAGCCATGCTACTGGATTCGTTAATCGATCAGCAGGATCGCCTTGAACCAGCCGGTTCAGGTATCTCATGTTAGTGATGTTAGCGCCGGAAGCAGCTGTACCAGGTCCTTCAATTTCAGGATGCACACTTCCAGTTGGCAATACCATATACCTTATATAAACATAGATTTTCACTTGTAGCCTGAATGAACTTGCGGTTTGTTGTTGGGCTTCGAACATTGTACTCTGATGTTTACTGACTGCCTCTACAGGGAGACAGTGCTGAACGAGCAGTGTTAAGTAGTTATTGGAGTTTCCGATGACTGGTTGTTTCCCCAACGAAAATTCAGTGCTTAAATTACACCACGGTCTCGGACGGTCCTGTCTCTCAATTACCTCTGTGGAGAAGGCAGTGGCGTAAGGATGTGAACGTGATCACTGACGAAAGCTGAAGAGCGAGCGCTAACTATGACGGCGGAGAGAGCTATGAAGCAAAGGATGCCTGAAATGTCTGCGTCCCTGTTACGTAAATGATGGGCGGGTGTTCCCGCTGACAAAGCCACATTAGCTGACCCTTCGGGGGACTGCACGGAAGCAAGCTGATGGTGGATTTGGCTTCCTGACACACGCCACTACCAATTTACCATCGAAACGAATGAACGATTTGTGGAAAGGTTATTTTTCTTACTCGTAGAGTCGAGCTTTTGATCGTTAGTAGCGCTGCTTGCTATTGCATAATATTCATATCGTATGCTAATTTAGTATAAAAGCAAGAAATTATGCAAATCAATCAACTATAAATAATCGACATTTGTTAAATCATATCACTGATGCTGCGTGGATTGTATTGAGCGGTGGTGCACTTCTCCTAGGGCTGTGAAAATACATTCCGGTAGCTTCCTAGCCGAAGTTGCGCACGATACGTGTCTCAGTGGCACCGGAGCGCATTTAAGGTGTGACGCTGAGGCCTAGATGGTTTTAATCGGAGGGGTTTATGTGCGCGGCAGAATGTATATTGTTAAGCTGGGAGTTTGCAGATTGTTGAGGGATGGTTTTGGACTGTTGATTGCTGGATTGTTGATGAGAGGCTCGAACTATTGAAGAAGTTATGGGTTGCG